ATGGTTAAAAAATGTATGAGGCAAAGCCAAAAGGTTGGGCGGTAGGCTTTGGGTTCAACTCGTTGAACCGCACTCCATATGTCAGCTGCAGCAGCGAGTGTTTTTGGTTTTCAAACATTTTGCCAAGTGCGCAGTTTTCTTGAACGGAAAGAATACACTTTTCTTATGTGCGCCGCCCCGGAAGGTAGGCAACACAATTTGATCACAACAAAATGTCGTTTAATGTGGCTTGTCCTGAGCTATTGAAACGTCAATATTCTTGTGTGTGTATGTGTTTATTTGTGTGTGTTGCCACCTGTGCGTGTGCATGCTAAGGGTTCGCCTACTGTGCTGACAGTCGTATGAAGGCAAGGACTTTCATCGATTTTCTTAAGCGGCAAAAGTTTTGCTTCAAATGCTTTCGATACACAGCGGCAACCTGCAAAACCAACTCATGCAACAACTACGGCCAACAACAACAACAACAACTAAAACAACAGACGACAATTGCACAACAACAACAAACAAACAACAATAACAACCCCAAATGTTTTGTGTTCTACGTTCTCTGCCCCAAAATCTACTCCAAAGCGATAAATTCCCGGCGTTTTTACGAGCTTAGCTCGGAATGCAGGCAAAACGCAAAAATAGCATAAACAGCGAGAAAAAGTCTCGGGAAAATTTCCATACACTCAAAGAAAAACGGGTCAATTTAATTGAGAATAAGACTCAAAGAAGAGAAAGAAAAGATATTAAAAAAATTTTGTTTCATAAAATAAATATTAAAAAAAAAACTAAATGCTTGTAGATCTTTAATCCTTATTGAAATTAACTAATTTACAGAAATTTACAAAAGCTTAAAATTTGAAAAATAAAATTTTTATTGACAAAATAATATTAATGCTCTAAATTATTTATTTAATACAAAACATAGCTTTGGCGAAGAGATCTAATTCATGTGTTATTGTATTTCAGTAGAGCCTAACTTGTTTTTATATTTTCAATGAAATATGGCATCATCTTGGGATGAGATCAAATTGAATTTTCTATATTAAATGAAATAAATGTATGTTTTTCAATACTTCAATATTTTCAAAAGCCCTTATATATAAACAGGGCTCACAGCATGTATGTTTGTGTCTTTGGTTTTCTCTCAGTGCATTAACACACCCCCGCAAAATGCTAGGGTGGTTTTGCTGGCTTTTACCCGGTCGTCTAACGTCTAACGCAATTTAAGCTCAACAAAATTGGTGGCATTTCAACGCATTTCGATGCGTGCCGCCGAATGTTTTTTTGGTGGTGGCATGCGGGTGGTGGGTGGTGAGTGGTGGGTGACGGTTAGTTGTTAGTGTTGGTAAACGAGTGCAACGGTTTTGATTTTGTTCGCTCACTTGTTAATTAATGTACTCGCAATTTATGCGCTTTTATTTAACCTTTCTTTTTCTTTTGACACAATGAAATTACGCTAATAAATTTCGCAGTGCATTCACATAAAATTAATTTTGTATTTTATTGTTTAGTGAGTAATATCGGGTCTAACACTGGCTATATAATAAATCATATTTATTGTGTGGCTGACCCACTTAAAGGCTTACTCTTTTGTACTAAAAATGTTTAAACATGGCGTGCCCCAAAAAGTAGGCAATACTATTGTTCAGTACTGCTGCCTCACGTCTGCGGCTGCTGGAAATTGAAAACCGTCGCCGTGCGAGACACGTATTAGCTCGGCACATGTGTAAATCCAATTCAAAACATGCCACGTGCTTCCCACCCTCCACCGCATCACACTGCAACTTGTGCTGATGCTGCAGCAATGCACAAAATTGTTTATTTTTTTCCTGTTGTTATTTTCCTTTTTTCCTATTTCTTTGCGCTGTTGAAAAATACGTTTAACAGCTGAACCACGTTCAGATGAGAGCTGGCTCCTTGCCTTGATGGGTTGGTGGTTGTGGTGCGACGGGGCGACTCTGGCATTTGTCACGCGCCCCAAAACAAACTTTGTACACCCCGTCCCACATTGAGGGGTTGTTTCGTGTTTGATTTTGGGACAGAGAATCAGCTGCAGCTGCATTCCGCAGTGTACAAAAATATTTGCTACAAAATGCAGCCGTCGGTCGAGTTATGCAAATGAAGAGAACACTGCAGGAAATGTGCAAGTCATGGACCCATTTTAAATGGACCCCCAACAACAGCAACAACGACAGCCATAACTGGCAAATAAATATATAAATATAAATATGAATTTACAAAGGGAAAATTGACAGCGACTGGTTGCTGCCTGCCTGCCATTCAGCGTTGCATGCAACCGCTGTGACAAAACGGCGGGCCCAACTGTATTTGGGCAATTCTCTATGCAGCAGCAGCAGGAGCCAACAATATTTGCGATTGCTTTGTTCTTCACCCGCTTCATTTAACTTCAAAAAGACACAGCTTGATGTGAACTGATTGTGCAGCGGGGGGATTGTTGCGGGAAATTGAAGTGAAAGCCATACCCAGATGATGCATAAAAATGGGTTGGTCCTATTTAAATTAGCATGAGTGGACTTCAGACACTTGAAGGCAAAATGCCAAAAGTAATGTTAGGTGCTGTGTAGCCCCTTCAAAGGCAGCTAAAGAGTCGGGCCGGGTGTTTTCAGGCCGCCTTCTCAAATGCAGCTCAAGTGCCATTTAGCATATTTTGGTGGCATGTGAAGTGGCTATGTGGCAGGCGGATTATGCGGTGCGGCTGCGGTTGCGTATGGTTGTGTCTGATCGGGAGGTGGGATAAAGTCGAATAAAGTCGAAAGTCGTGGCCACAATGCACGCGTGAACTGAGAAAGCAGATGCAGCTAAGTAAAGTTTTTCATTTGCATCAAGATGCGCATACAAAAAAGATAACGAAAAAGAGAAAGAGTTTCGAGTGCCGAAGGTTAAACACCCTCACAAACAAAGAAACCCAGCAAAACATATCAAGCTTTAATGAATTTGATGAATTAACTCAGGCCTAAATCAATTTACTTTCTGAACGCTATACCTATATATTATACTTATGTTAGTATCTATATTAATATGTTGATATATATTATTTTGATTTTTATTTGAATAAATGAATCATAAAAATAAAGGAGATTTTAGTCAGTATATCTTTGAAAACTCAATTTAATGGTATGATATGGTGAGATCGAAAAACTAGAAGAATTATTTCTTTAGAAGGACAGTCAGCTTTTCGCTTGGATTGTGATGTTATTAACATAATGGGTTGAAAATAGTTTTCCTTAGATTGTTGGCATGCGTTGAACTGTCAACAGAAAATGAGAAATATAAAAAAGTAAGCGTATCCATTTGCTTGTTTATTTCGAGTATGAAAAGTGCATTTTTATTTCACGCGACGAGTTCCAAGGACTAAAAGACGCATACCACAGACACACACAAGCCATAAAGTGGCTGTTTCATGTTACGTTAAAGTCGGGCGAACGCGACAAATTTGCCAAAAGGTGGGGATAAACGTTGCCGAGCTGTAAATGGATGAGGAGGAGTGCGACTCAAGAACAAAGCAAATGCCCCGAGGGGGCAAAAAGAAATGTAAGCATCTGCATTTATGACTTTTGCGGCAGGCTAATCTGATGCTGAGCATGTCAGGACATCAGCAGCAGCCACCCCTCGATGCGACAAAGCAGAACTTGGAGCCAAGGACTCACAGCACATGGCCTGTGCTGTAGATGTCGTCAGGGCGACAGACAAACAAACATGTAAAGATTGTAATTAACATAAAATTAATATCAACATGTTAGAGGAAGTCCTGGGCAGAGCAGAACTGGGAATAGGGAACGGGCAACCAGTCGACTGTTAGCTGGCCTCTTGTTGGAGCTCAAGACTGCACAATTACCAGCACAAGTGTAGTCCACACAGACACGTAGATATGTCCTTGTTTGCCCCCACCGAACTTTGTGTGTGTGTGTGTGTGTGTGTGTGTGTGTGTGTGTGTGTGTGTGTATGGGGAGGGGAACCGGGAGGTGGCTGTTGTTGATCTTGATTATATGTAGCTTATCTTGTATCCTGAGCGTTACAAGCAGCTCACTCGGATGCTCTGTTGAGCTGCTGTCGAAGACACAAATAATCTGTACCATTTCTGTAGCGTTTATATTATGTTTACACTCAGGTGTGTTTTTGAAATAAAGCAAAGCTTTCCCTTTTATAACAATTACACAAAAATTCACAAACATTTTCACATGTATTCCGGTTTATTTTAATTTCAGTATTTTACAAATAACACTGCTACAATATTTTTGTTAAGTTCTATCAACAGAATAATATTTAATGTTGCTTATATTTCATAACTGTAAATATTCTTTTATGTTCCAAGTAAATGTTTTTAATTTCGCAAATCCTTTGCAACATTCAGTTCAATTATATCCTGAGCCTTACATTTAAATTTACAATACCACATTAATTATATTGTTATTTGTACTAAAAAACACCATTTGACACCATTTGTTAGTTTTTTATTTACATGCGTAACAGAATTACATGACGAGCAACAAATGAAGGCAAAGGCGGCAGCTCATTTGGCCAGCCGGTTGTTTGGCGGCTTGTTAAACAAAATGTAACGTTTTGTAACAAAAACCCTTGTTAACGGTTTGTGGCTATTTGCTGCCTTGCAGCAAATCCCTGCCGGAACACGCAATGCTTTGGGCCTACCTTGCTGCCATCAACATTAGTCCTTGCCCATGAGCCGCCTATAATTATGCATGTTGCGGCTTAAAGGCGAGGCGCATAAAACAAGCTTCAGTCAAGGACCAACCGCATCTATGGCACATGCAAATTATCAGATTGTGTGTATAGGACAGCAGTCGCTCCCGCGGGACTTCATTTGCTTTGTTGCCCGCCACGCCTTAATTATGCACCGACTGCAGCAGCAGCAGCAGCAACTGCCACACGGCAACAATTGCTAATTGCTCGTCACATTAAGGTCCGTCTGGGGCAACGCCTCTTTCAATTGATTTATAGCCCTTTGTTATTTTAAATTTTTATTAAAGTTACACTTTCTGCTTAAAACTAACGTATATAGCGTGTTGGTGTATTTGGATTCGAACAACTTTGTGCTATTGAATATTGTTAAAATAATAGATAAACTCAGTGTAAAAAGAAATGAATTAAACGACCCATGCCATAGACCCCGATTTGGTCTCTTGCAAATGTTAGCTAAGAAAAAATGAATGTCATTTGGTCCCAGTCTTTGCGTACTATTAAAGTTTCGATGGTATCGTGTGTCATCTATAGCGCCAGTTACATATACAGTAGCTCTACGATTATTTGTTAATTTGAACAGCAGGAATTTTTACCGCCATCTGGAGATCGGATGTGCTAATCAGCCTGCGTTGTGGATCTACAGACGGTATACAGTCCAGACCTAAGCAAACCCAAAATCACAAATTTAATTTAATTTTCCTAAACATGATGAATTCACTTACGCTTTAGAGGAACTCAAAATTGTCTTATATTTTCTTTCGCACTGTCAATTTGGATGTGCTTTGTACGAAAATAAAGCTAATTTTTGGCTGTGGTCTGGTATGTCTAAAACTTGGATGACAGCAATTCCATATCTTACTGTAATAAGTTTATAAACATTTTTTTAACTTGTTTTATTGCAAGGGTCTATAGCTGACGTCATTTGTAAAGAAAACCTTTTGAAATATAAATTTCAAAGACTGCTAAGTCATTTTTAATTAGAAGTTTTTAAGTGCGTTAAATTGTGCTTGATTTTATATGTAGTTCCTTAAAATCGAAATTATATAAGTTGTTCTATTCGGGAACTCCTGACTATGGGATACCCTGAACCCTCTTCTTTCAAAATCAAATGTATATATATATTCTATTTTAGAAGCTATATGTCAAGTTTGGTGACTCTAGCTCTTATTATTTACCAAAATTGCCCAAGAAACAGGATATCGATATCGATATCATACATACGGACGGACGGACGGATGGGCAGACAGACGGACATGGCTAGATCGCTTTTGATGCTGATCAAGAATATATATATTTTATATGGTCGGAGATACTTCCTTCTGCCTGTTACATACATTTGGATTTTGCACAAATAAAATAAACCCTTATACCCATTTTTAATGGGTTCAGGGTATAAAAATGATTGCCAGCGAGGTAGGACATTGAGTGTCGCCTTAAAAATTAAAGTTGCGATAGTGGACATTTTTATTTGTAATTATATATTATATTGCATTATTTTTAAATTATTAAGCTATCATAAACATAAACAACACATGTGTAGCTGTTAAAATCTTTTCCATTTTTAATGTTCTTACTATTTCTCATTCCAGATTACCAAATAGCTAATCAACAGGACACTGTGCACATATATATATAGAGAAAATCAATTTATATTCTCTGCTAAAAATGCGACAGCAATCAGCTGGGCGCTATAATGAAGCATATCAGCGAGCAAATAATATCGTCTACAACAAAACCAATGGTAATAACAAGAATAAATACAACAATTGGAACAACAATGAGCATCACTTAAGCAAATAGAAAATCAGCTTGCAAAATCAATACAAAATCAATACAAATAGCTGAGAAATTTACTGTCAACATTTTTTTGCCAGAGGAGAAAAAAACAAAAGCGTGAGAAACGATAAACAAAGGGACAAGGCAAACAAACTCCATTTCAAATGGGCGGCAAGAACGGAGCCAATGGTAATGGAGGTGGCGGCGGCGGAGGTGCCGGTGGCGGTGGCGGGAGCGGCAACGGCCCCGGCGGTGGTAGTTTGAACTCTAGCATCTGCAACTCGGTGCTGACAAATGCAACCACAGCTAGCAACAGTCTCACCCAGCAGCAGCAGCAGCTTCAGGCCAAGTATATCAAGTCCAAACGCCATCAGAGTCGTTATACCAATCTACAGCATTCTGGTCACGATTCCAGCAGCTATCTGCATCTTAATTCGCTCTGGTCTATATGGTATGGTGTGCTACTGACACTTTTCCAAGGCTATTTAGCGATGCATGGCGCCTACAGGTTCCTCGGTAAGTTCACAAAAATAGTCTTTGAACTTATTTCAATTATAATTTATTTATTTCTGCTGAATCCATTAACAAAAACTTATTTAAAACGATTTTCAATTTAATCGTTTCTCGGTGTCGGCTATCTTGTGCTTTAATTAAAATAGAGATTTTAAATCAACTCAAAATATTTATGAAACGTACATAAAGATAGATAGTAAAATAGATATATATATAAAGGTAGTTCGTGGGGAAGTATATTAAAAGTGTTAACATCATATAAAAAGGTTTAAATAACAAATTGATCAAAATGTTTTTAATAATTTAGATTTGCCTAATCTTGAAGATACAAACCAAAGTTCAATTTTCTTCATGCTAATTAACATTTATGTATTCGATGATTTTAACATTAAAGCTGCTGGAAAGCCGCCATTTTCTGATGCTTAAAATTGCCTGCCCTTAACAGCTTCATATAATTTGCGGTTGTTATGCCGCCATTTTGCAGCTGCTAGCATTTTGGCTAACATTTTAGCGAGCTGTTAAGTGTCTAAAAAAATGTTATAGTTAACCGTCTTTGATTTTTATTGCTTACAGGCTGCTCGTTAATACCCTGGAAAATCGAGCCCGTTGCTGAGCTAAATCTGCAGATTGTACTCTCCGGTGTGGTGTTTATTCTGCTGCCCGTATTCTTTACATCGGCGGTATTTAAGGTGAGTGGTTCTGTTAAATAAATTGGGGCTTAACTTGATGTGGGATCGCGAAATAAACGCTGCGGTTGTCTGGGAATATAACAGACGCCTGATGAACGATAATACAATTATGCTCAGCATTCCGCACAGGCAATGCCTGTCTACACTGTCGTGTATCCCTTGTGTGTGTATAAACTATTTTTAGTGGCATTATTTTTGTTATTAAATTCATTTGCAAACAAACAAGGCATACGCTCCAGCTCCTGTCCAGCTTCTGACTCGTGGTACGCCTCAAAATGACTGCCAATGTGGAGAATGCAGCACACACATAGACAGGCACACACACACGCATGCATGCACATTGATACAATTGAATATTATATCCTCTCAGGCACACACTCGCATATAGTGTGCGTCTGTGTCGTTCATGTCCCTGCTTTTATCAGCATAATAAATGCAATTATGGCTTTTTCATTTTCCATCTCAGTCTGACACTTAACTCGCTCTCTTCTTCTAGCGCTAGCGAGTGCATGGTGTTTTATTTATTGTCTATCTGAAGTGCATGGCAGACGATGGCGCTGGCAAAAGCTCGATAGAAAAATACAATAACTTGTAAACGAATTTATATACCCTGCATACATAAAGGATTAAGTGGAGTATAGACTCGTTGTGGATGTGTACGAGAATGCCAACAGCGCGAACCCAATTTGTGTTTATCCTTCTATAAAGCACATGTCCAAGAGCAAGCATTGAATGCAATATTGTTGAAATAAATTCATTTATTAGTTTGATATATGTCAACTTTATTTAACTTTTTTTTTTATTTTGTTGGGTATTCGCCTGGGAGATATGTTTTTTATAGTAGGCAACTAATTCGTATCTGTAAAAAAAATTATTTGCTTTTGTCTGATATCACGAATTCGTATTTTGAAGAATCCCATAAAAGTAAATTGAAATTAATTTGTTATCAGATACAATTTTTTAAGGGCCATTGCATGTTATGATTTTTTTTTCTTTTACCAGAAAACAGTATATAAAATTCGATAGCACTCGAGTTAAGTAGCTCGCATTTGTTTGCTGTCGAGAATCTCATGTGATATATACTGTAAAAGCCACTTAAAGTGGCTAAATAAAAGAGCTGGAAAGTGCAGAAAAAGCACATGGTGCATGATATGTTGTGTGGGTGTAGGGTTTATGCGGAGACTGTGTCCTCTGTCACTTTCTGTTAGATTGTGTTGTAGCCACGCTGCTGGCCTGCGGGCTATCACAAATAAGTTGATTATTTTAAGCCAACTCAAAAGCTAAAAAACTGGGTGCAAAACAACAGAAACACAACCGATTATTCAGCACTCAGTCAGGCAATGAGGTCATGAAACGGGTTGCTCATGATTTGCCTAAAAATGAAAACGTTAAATAGAACTATTCCGGGCGCCAACCATAAGCTGCCTATCAGTCGCAGCACAGCAGTTGGTACACATCAAAAAGCAGTGGGAAAATAGAAAACGGTTGGTCCCATCATACGGCAGCCATTTAATAAAGCCGACAGCAAAGGCCAATTCCGTGATGAAAGCCAACATTGGTCATTGACGCGTGGCTATCGGAGGATTGGCAGAATACATAGGCGCAAAAAGAGGCATAGGAAACGGGTGCAGCAGGAAATGCATCTGCACTATGGGCAATTATTGTGAATTCATAGTTTTTGTTTAGTTTTTGCCATTCACAGCACGATGTCAGAAGTCATGAGTCAAAGTGGCAGAAATCAATTTTTGTTATGGTTAGATATGAGCTAAAGGCTGCAGTCCTAGATTCTGTTTCGAATAGGAAAAACATACGAGCTGACAATGTTTTTTAGCTTAATGAAGAGCACCTGCATGCCCGCTTTATAGTGGGAAATTACATATTTCTTTGGCCTTGTCAAGACTGAGCTTTACTTGGCACAGTAAATTAGAAAGTTCATCTGATTTTTTAATAATTGCCAGCTTAAAATTGAATATTCCTTTCACAATATTACAATTGAATTTCTAAATATTATTTACATGTTGTCTCAGAGCGTTTTGTACTTCTGTTCTTGGCAAAGTCAACAAAATTGTCAACATGTTGTCTAACTAAATATAATCGTTTATTAAAATTTCATCACTGTTGTTTCTTGTTCTTTACTTCTCTGTGCTGTTTTATAATATTGTCGTCTTAAATATTTGTTTTGTTGAAGCTATGAAAAATTAACATGGACTAAAACCACCTTTTTGCTTAATATTTAAGAGATGTCTTTTTTACTTCTGCTCTTTTTGGCTTCGACTTTAAAATTCATTTTTATAGTGAATTATAATCGAAATCAAAATGCTAATTCGATATGTTTTATCATCAGATTATCGTCGAATCCATCGTTTAAATGAAAGCCCCTCGCACAGATATGATTACAGACTGAAGCTTGGATATTCCTAAATTGATCCAAATTTTCTAAATTTTTTTAATTTTCATTTTTGTATTATGTATTTAATCTGCTTGTATTATAATAGCCGTAAGCAAAGCACTATAAACCACATACAATTTTAGAGAAAAGTGACTCCTGCTAGCTTGGTTATGCAAACTTCTTAGGGTGAAGTCTGCATAGTCCAGCGAGGAGTTGGCCGACCTGATCCAGTCAGTAAAGTTAGATATATTTGTATATACGCCTGGAAAAAACATGCGGCCACAGTCCACGCCCCAAGAGATAATGCCCGTGAGGTGGCCGCCACAAACGAGTGGGCCGCCGGAGTCACCTTTGCAGGCATCGATGCCGCCCCGCAGCCAGCCGGCGCACATCTGCGTTTGCGGCAAAAAGAAATAGATAATGGAACAGACATTTTGGGGCACAACGGGCACTATCGCCTGGCGTAGCTGTTTGTACTTATTGCCCCAGCCGCTGATAAG